CTCCCTCCTTTGAACTGTTCTCATGCCGCAGTGCAGGTCGAGGAGTACAAGGGCCTTTGACCAGTCCTTGTCTGCCTAAGTATCCTACCAAGAAGGATTCCTGTAAGATGGAAAGAGGTAAACTGCTCAGGCAGCTTTGTGTGCAAGTAAACTAGATGTAAAACTTAAAGAAATAAATAAAAAAACAGACAATGGGGTTTACAGAAAGTGCTGTCTGCTCTTTTTAAAATGCAATGATTTCTTTTAATCAACCACATTGTTATCAGAAAGCTTTCATAATTTTAAACTTATTTTTTAATCTTCATTTTCTGTCGTTTGTAGAGACAGGAATTCACCCCCTGGCTCCAGGTTATGCAGGGAAATCTAGTGTACAAATGCAACTCTGCTTGCGCTGTCACAGGGCAGTATTTTGAATGTATCACATGGTAGTGCCTGCTTCTAGAGTATGTCATTCTCCACAAGAACTGCCACAAGAGCTCTGGATATTCTTAAGTTATTTTCTAAAACAGAATTGCTAAATCATGTTTTAGCACTGTGACTACCAGATTAAGATTAATCTGACAGATTAACATACCTACACTCTGAGCAACAGCCAGCCTTGCTGAATCAGTACTAGCCACAGATTTGCAGCCATTCATTCTATTTGTTAAATTAACAAATCACAAGCATCTCCAACAGGCTTTCCTCTGACGGAGGACAGCGCCTGCAATACTGATATGTTTACGGAAAATCCTGCTCAGTGGCAAATCCTGATTAGAAAACGTTATCATTTTTTGCATAATAGGTGAGATAGATATGCCTAGCATATGGTTGCTATAAAATACCTTAGATGAGTCAGATCTTGGCTGGCAGCTGTAAGCAAGTTTGTTCTGGCTTCTTAGATAATACTATGTTTTCTTTTTTTCTTTTACTACTGTACTGTTTAATTATATTAATCTGATTTGTAGGCACTCCCATTTGACTAGAACAAAAAGGCAAGATTTATGATGTAAATCCTGATCTAAATGTTTGTGGCTGGTTAAAGCTGCATACAAAGTCATCCAATTATAACTAAATTGTAGGATATCCTAAATAAATTTTAGGACTGTTTCTGAAATTGCCACTGTCCCACTCAAAGCATTCAATTTGGTTACCTACCCCGTGAAATGTAAGATTCAAAGAAGTATCAGAAATAATATTTTTTTTAATGTAGTTTGTAATGGTACCAATCAACGTGGCTTGTAACGGTGCTGCTTGCCTTCTGCTGTAATCTGTGGATGCAGTTCATGCAGCTTATCATGGCTTGCAAAAATATACTAATGCCTCTGCCCATGAAGTCTCCTTGAAGACCTTCTGGAAGGAGCGCAAGGCGAGGGGAAGGCTCTAGCAGCACAGCTTTGGGTCTGGGCTAATGGAAGGCATTAGGAAATGCTCTGACTCGGAGCAGAGGACGGGCTGTCAGGTGGTAGAGACATGCAATTTAAAACACAGTGTTTTACAAGTGCCTAACCCTGCCTTATATACCATCTGCCACTTCTGGAAACTTAAGACTTGCCAAAGAGAGGCTTGTTCTATGTTTTCAATATTTAATGACTACTGGAAATGACAATTCACCACTGCATTTTACCCTAGTGAGATCAAGCTAAACTCCACCCACAGTACTGGATGCTCTTAAGCCACTGCACAAGTAAACATGGATGGAAAGCGTGTAGGCCAAGTCTGGAACTACAGTAACATCTCCTGAAAGTGCTTTCAACACCAGCATGATTTTTTTTCGTCAATACACCCATTGACTTCACTTCTCTTGGTTATAACTCTTACAGGCTATGGAAAAATTCTGAGAAACAGTTGTAAAATGGAAAAGCAGGCATCGAAATAAATGAATGATAGGACCAGATAGCTTAGAATTTTTCCTGTTCTGTGTTGTTTTATGTCATGCTTTGCTAACAAATATATTTCTAGGGCTAGCCTGTGTAGTATGGTCCAAGCTCTTTGCTGATTTATATCTGCTTTATTTCTACCACCAGGGAGTAAGAGAAGAGACATTAATACCACCTGCTTCACACAGCGAGTCAAGGTACAACTTCGGGAGCCTCTGCTGAAGGACCTCAGTTGACAGGCAGGTAGCTGAGGTTGGATACCTAAATTTGAAAGTATGACTAGCTCCTTCCACTTCTCTATTCCTTTTTCTTCTCCCTGGTGTGCATCAGTTCTTCTTTTCTGTTCAGCTGTTGAAGGTCCAGCAGTACTGTCTCATCCTCTCTTGCACGTTGTAGAGTCCAGCTTCCTCTGAGCTGGGGAAAGAGGCGCAGGACACAGATCCACCAGCAAGATTTGCAGGACAGCCTTGTTAGTGCAGCAGGGCATGAGGAGGAGTGGTAGCAGCAAGGGGCTTTGTGGTAGAAGTGGTGTTACAGAGCACAGGACATGAAGTGATGGTGGTTACAGGGCCTAGAACTGAACTGTAGGGTGAAAATAAGATATGCAAGCTTTTCGTTCACCCGCTTTGGTCAATACAAAAGACTGCTCTGAATAACAAGAATTGCTGGTTTTCTCTGTAAATGTGCTTTTATTAATGTGAGTTTACTTCATTGTATCTGTAGAAAACTCTATGAGGAATCTGAATCTCCACTATGCAAGGGGTATTGCGCGCATTTCTCCTTTGATGCTGAGACGCTGCAGCAGCACGAGGCAGGCTTTGCTGCAAGCTCTAAACAAAGCATTCTTCTGTGCATATGCTGAGGGAGGAAAATACCACAGAAGTTGTTTTTTTTCTGCTACTACAAGAAACCCTATCATACTGTATTTGCTTGCTACCAGTTCCCTCTCAGGCCAGCTTGGATGCATCGTGTGGTCACTGGAATAGGCTTCACTTTTATGATCTTTTCACTCTATGGGAAGTGTGGTGATCTTTGCAAACTACTTGTGCCTTCTGTGGTGCCGTTCGGAAGGGGCTCAGGTCCCACCTGCCCTCAGCCCCAGAGCAGTGCATGTAGCTTCTCCTGCAGTTGACAACCAAGAGACAGAAATTCAGCCCATCCGAGATAAGGCTCAAACCCACCACTGAGCTGGGCGTCGCCTGTTCTCACCCACTAAGCTAACATAGGAAGGAAAAACACTAAGTAGAGCAGCATGGCCATGAGTAAACAAAGTGCCTGCAAACATTAACCAAAATGGGGAAAAAAAAAAAAAAAAAAAAAAGGTGGGCTGAGAAAGCAAAGCATGTTAAAGGACAGATAGTTGTGTAAAACTAGTTTTAAGTTCACAAATGAAGGCTAGATTTGAAAATTTTTACTGAGTTAAGCCGCTACAAAATTTGCCAATGCAAACTGGTTGGATGAACTTGTCCTCTGATGCTCATGTTGCGCTGTTTGCAGAACAGGTAAAGGCTCGTGGTACAAAAGAGCCTTTTTAGGTAAGTCTATGGCCTTTTTGCTATTGAAAAGTAATGGGTGTATGAACAATTCCTACATTTACTGACACATATTTCAATCAAGTTTAAGGGAGCTGGACTCATTAAGGGTAAGAAATAATATACCTTCAAGTTATTTCCAATGTATTATAAAATTCTTTCTTCTGGATTGGTGAAAAAGGTCATGGAAGAACAATAGTTATTCTTTTTTTCTCCCCCACATCAAGGAATAGTAGTGAGGTAACAGCACAGCAGCCAAGGAGAGGCAAAAATAATGGAAACTTACTTTTTTTTTTTTCAGCTGCTAAGGCAGATAGTGAAAGCAACTACAGTGAAGCCCAATAAAGAGGTCTTTGGGCCTGTGACCTATTCATATTACAAGTTCAACTGTTTCCAACACAGTAAATGCTGAAGAGCAAGCCTAAAAATAACTAACAAAATCACACCACTAAGCTGACAGGAAATGTAAAAACTTTTCAAATGAGTGCCAATGAATCTGATGAAACATAGTCACATTCCTAGTATGAGATACGCTTGTATCTCCTTCCAAGTGTAGTCAGTATAGCAGCATTGGCATGGGGTAGCTATCATCTTTATGCCCCAAGGTAAACTGATGCATGGAACACAACACGGGCTCACTTGGAATCTATAGCAAAGTAATAAATAAAAGAAATCCTGATATATTCTATTTCCTAGATCAGATTTACATGCAAGATTTACATTTTACTCAGGGTATCTTACTCATTGCTCAGTTGTCTATAAGCTCATCTTTTGATGAGGTCCTGTACCTTCTTTGCATATATGGTTAAGAAAGAAGCTTTCCAGCACGATACAAAATGGTGCATCTTCTACCTAAATTACATCATGCATTCTTATGAATTTGACATCAGAAACTCTAAATGTGATGGATTTTTTTTCTCATATTGCATACTTAGAAAATACAGCTTTAGCTCTGCTTTATGCGTCTCCTCATTCTAAACGACTGCTTTACAGGTTAAACTGAACGTGACTTCCCATTACAAGGTAGGTTAAGAGAAGCCATGCATCACTTGAAGAAGCTCTGCGGTACAGTGGAGCTTCCAGGGACAAAGCTGCACAGATTAATGTGTGAGGATATCAACACATTTATCTCTGGCCCAAATTATGCAGGAAAAAAACATTTACAAGCGGAGTTTCCTTTTGGCATCCAAGTACAGAAACAAGGCAAAAGGCAAAAAAAATATATATTTTTTTCCCAACGGGGCTGCAGCAGTCCTGGTGCTGCTTCAAATCTTATCTAGACAGGCCACTGACTGCAGACTAAGCACTGTCAGGTACGCTTTCTTTTCAAGCTTGTTCAAGGACCTAGTGGTAATAACTGAGAACTGTAAAATACACCAACTTACAAAATCACTAAGAATTAAAAGTGGACTATTTTTAAATTGCATTTTCTAATTATATAGTAATAGAGACAAGTCAAAAAACTCTCAATCTAAACAAAATAACTACTGTAAATGAAATGACTACAAAAGCCAAAAATCAAGTCTTTTGTTATTAAGAAAGTATTTTAAAGCACAATTTTAAATTCATAAAACTATTATCAATTACTGCTTAAAAATAAGTTTTACACAAATTTAAAAGACTTTCCTTTTTCTTAGAAGTTAACAGGCTCTAATCCAGATATATTTCAATAGTGCTGTCATTATTCGTGGAGAATACTATTGCACGCACTGACTCAACAGGAAAGATGCCAGCAGCAGTGCCCTTACTCCTCAATGCAAACATTATTTTTTTCCTTTCTTTCCCTAACTCCAGTAGAAAATTTGTGACCAAAAGTTTTAAAAAGCAAAGAAAACAAATAAACAAGCTGCTTTTAAACTAGCACTTTTCAGACCTTAACTGGTCTTTATGCATATGCTGAAAAGTGCTTTTTTATTCGGTGTCTCTGAAAGATTTAGAGATTCTTGCTCATAGGAAATAAATGAATGCAAAAGGGCAAGAAGTACAATCAACACAATTTCATTTTTCATAAAAATTAAAGTCCCAACCATTGAAGATACATTATTCTCCATACCACCCTTTTGGACAGCAGGAGACGTTAAGGTGACCATCTTGTTCTGTGGGAAACAAAGGAGTGTGGTCAGTGATATTAACAACCTAATTATATAATATTATGTTGTATCTGGTATAAATAAGGCTTTTGCTTTTTCAGCCGATCCAGAATGCAAAGTAATATAATTCAAAAAAGTATTTTTGAACACTTCATCTTATATATTGAAGACTAAATATAACAATCATTTTAATAAAAAAAATGAAACTGCTAAGTTAGTTGTAGCCACACAGATTTTTTTGTTGTTGTTTTCCTGAAGTCCTAGTAGAAGTTTAGCAAAAATTCCTCCCAAAACTGCAGTAAACCAACTAAATATTATCAAAAGATTAAAACGATAAGTAATCAGCAGCTAGCATTTACGGTAAGTGACAAAATGACAACACTAATTTCCATACTATATATACTTATTCACTTTAAAATGTACTTTACGCAGTACTTTTAACTGACAGATATGATCTGTAGTTACAGTGCATGCTTACAAAACACTGAAAAATAAAAATCTTGTTAGCTGAAATGCAAAAGTCACATTAAAAATGAAAATATTAAAAATTATTAATAAAATAAATTTAAAAATAATTACTTAAATTGACTAACCGCTCAGGTAAGTTGTCCTTTCTAAATATTCTTGTTAAACTTTCAAGATCCTCATTTTTGAAATGCAGTTCTTCTAGCAGGGTAGACAGGAACTGTGTATACACTGGGTTCTTCTCAGTATTTCTGAAAACTGGAATAATATGCGACAATCTGGAAATGAAAAAAAAAAATCATATTTCAACCAGAAAAGAGTGTTTTCAGCATCAGAGGTGAAAAGCAAGAAATTCTGTTAAAATGTAGTGAAACTAAAGAAAAGTTTTATTAGGAAGACTAGGCTAGTAGCTGTATGTTTGTGTTATTAATTAAGACAATTTTCATAAAGATATCAAAGTGTTTATACAAATAAATAAAAAAAAACAATGTTATTGGAAATTTTTGGTAAAGATGACTAAACAGTCATCTTGTAAAAACTGTATAGTTCCTTGTATGAATAAAATAGAGCTTATAGGCCTTTTACAGCAACCAAGATGAATATTTTAACTACACCTTCATAATAAAGTTCCTTTATAGTTATGCTTAAATGAAAAGTCTTGCACACTGCCAGTTTTCATAAAGACATATAACAAGGTGCACTTACTTGAAGGTCAGTCCCTCACCCTGTATCAAAGAGATAGCTGGATGGCAAATCAGCTCTGTTTTAAGCCAAGATTTCTTGAAACACACAGAAGCTTCTGATAGACTTAATAATTATCTGAAAGGTGTCTCCTTGATGCACAGGAATGCAGAAAATAATAAAACTTTCAAACTGAGGACCAGTGCATGAGTAATCAGAGCAATGCAATTCCTGAGTTTGACAGTGTGTACCTTGAAACTACATAATTACAATTCTTATACACTGAACTGTTCATGTGTAGACTTTAAGAAGGCCTATAAATAGAAATCATCTTTTGGCAGCCAGAACAAAATTAATTTGATCTTGATATTTTTATATCGGATGCTAAACTTAAGTTTGACAGGTGATACTATATCAAAGACTTTCTATAATCAAACTATTTTCTTTCTTTGGTAACAAAGGTGTTCAAAGTGTGAAAATGACTAGAGTCTTAAAGAGCGATGCAGAAATATGAGATGCAAAGAGTGGGGGAAAGATCTACTACTTAAGTCAGTCAGTTAAAATTAGCTTTAAAATTCAAATGGTACTTTTCAGGTGGCCTGTAAAATTTCGCTCATCAAAAACATTTTACAGAAAAGCTTCCATGTTGGCCTGATGTTCTGAGGTGCATGAAGTTCATCCAGCTTCCAGTGATTTTTAAAGTGTACAATGAATGGAAGCTGAAAGTGGTTACTGAATAGGAGAATATGCATTGAATTTGCATGAGAACAGTCGATGGAAATAGAGGATTACTGTACATTTCCCAAGCAGAATGTTATTTCTTATCTGAAAAAGGCAACGGGTGAGGCATGCATTACTGCATATCACATTTAGTTCCAGACTCAATGGTAACAGTAGCAGAAAGCAAAATCTCATACGGATCCAAGAACACGCACAAACACTGTACTGCAGTTGGAAGGAGCTATCACCATACAGATTATCTGCACACAAAAATACCTGTTTGGAGAGTAGGTGAAATGCTGAACTATCAGTTTTCACTAGTTCTTTAATTTTGCCCTGAAGATGTTTTTACCAAAAAAATGTTTTTCTCATGATTTTATACACATTGCAAATAAGCCAATAATGGCTGAATCTACTTCCAATTTACAAATATTAAAAACTATCTTTAATTAACAGCAGCAAATATTAAACTTACACTGAACATCAGGTAACTTCAACATGTTACTGACCAGATCACTTAACAGGAACTCATATCTCAAAGTTTACTTTGTCTCAAAAAATATATTTGCACAGATAGTGCCATTGGCACAGTATGGGAAATAGATTTTACAGGATTCGTGTGAAGTGATGTACTTTTAATAAAAGCTCAAAGTAGTCTACAGTTTTGTCAAAAAAGCTCACACAACGTTTAACCAAGTAACAACTGATAGCAAACTCTGAGCATCTCAATTTGGAAAAAGATGTGCATTAAAAGGAAGTTTTAAAAAAGATGTGCATTAAAATGAACTTTTACAAGTAAAACTAGTGGACTACAAGCAAAGGATCTTGCAAGACACCATAAATATCGCTCTTTAATATAAATGCATGAGGTGAGAAGGGCCTTAAGAGAGGCACAAAGCAAGGGCACGGCGCAGCATGACCGGGGCACGGCAGCCACAAGTGGGTGTGCGTTTTTCAGACGCTCTTTCTCAGGGTTTTGTTCTGCACTGCCCAGCAGCAAGGCTGGAACTGTTTCTTTTACGGCGAGCAGCGCAGGGGCTGCTATTTCACCTGGTAAGGCCAAGCAAGGCCCGGCTGCAGGCGGCCTGCGGGAAGCGGGAGCGCGCGAGGCGGAGAGAGCGGAAGGGCTGGGGACACGCGCGGACACCGGCCTGCAAGGCACCCTCATCGGGACCAGATAGGTCGAATATGAAAAACAACTGGTGGCACAAACTGTCATGACTTCCTGAGCGCTGGTGCCAGGAGGCTGCAATATTGCAAAGCGCTATCTCCGTAATGTAGATTGACATGCATTATTTTACCCAGAGCGTCTTCCTCCTGCCTTTGCTTTACAAAGTAATAAAGATACTATCTGTTTTAAAGGAACAGACAAGATGTGCAATTTTCAGTATGGTTTACCAAAACTAAAATCTTTATGCCACGAAACTCACATGCTAAGCACTCATTTTTAAATATATTTTGGGAACTGCATTTTGTGAAATTATATAGTTTCATAAACTACAGATATGGCCCAACAGGCCCTGTTTAGGCCACTCTTTGGAGTAGTTATTATAGACCCTACTTAGTAAGGAAAGGGTACTGCCATTGTCACAGACATTGCCAGGCACTAAATATCCAAGAGCAAACTTAAGAAAATAAACAAAACTGCTCTTAAATTTTTAGCTCTGGATCAATATTTTTGTTCAAAAAATTAATCAAGCTGCTAATTACCTGATAATCAGGAGATAAAATTAAAACATAATTTCAAAGAGATGTATGATAGGTTCTTGTAATTAAAAAAAGGATCTGTGTATTAAACATTTGTGAACATACGTAAAAACACTTATTGTTGAAAAATGCTGTTCTTTTGGCTTTTAAATGATTTTTTAATTTGAGAAGTGGTTACCCACAGGTACTTTTCTACTTTTAAATGGCTGTTTGAACAGAAGCAGAAGCTCTGGCCTGCCGTGGGAACGAGCACGAGCTGCCAGTCTAAGCTCAGCCTCATGTTTTTATTAGTGCTGCTACAACATGCATTTGAAACATAGGCGAGACGGAGTTTGCCAAAGATGCATTAAAGGCTTCTCCTCCTCATATGAAGAGCTATTTCTAACTGAAGTAAAGCAGCTGAAGTAAACCAGAATTGTATGTAAATACAGAACAATATTTGGAAACACTATCTTAATGTCCCTGAAAGCTACAAAACCCTAGCTCTGAATAAACTATTGTAACTAATTCAACTTAATGACATAAGGATTTCAGTTCAAAGATTGTGGAACTGCCACAAAATTCTGCAGCACCTTTAAAAAGAAAAGGTAGAATGTAAACAGGAAATAGGATACTTGGGACAGGAGCAATAATAACTGGTTACTGCAAGAATGAAAAATTTGTATAAATAAATCCTGCTTTCTGTTTACTTCCTTTCACATGTTGCAAAATTAATGTGGAACAAATTTTTGAGGACAAACTTAGATAAGGAAAGGTAAGGCATTAAATATTTTTTTTTTTTAAAAAAGGTCACCTACAGAAGCACTGAAACATAAATGTTACTGTCCAAACTTACACACCCATGCTTCAAAGGGTTGCCCTCAGTACACCGTTAAAAGGAAACTTTCATGCTTGGCTCATGGAAAAGTAGTACAGTATGATCAGACTTCATGAAACAGTGTCGTTTCCTGCACACCCACTTACACCATATGGTAAACAGATCTTTGTAAAGTTTGAAAAGTGTTAAAAATGTCAAACTGTATCTGAGTGATAAAACTCTCATTTGCTGGCTACTTCACATATGCTACACGTAAGAAAACAACCAACCAAACAAAAAAGAAATTAATGGGAAGACCAATGAATTATTGCTAAGCTATTAAATGACAGCTGGCTATCACAAAATGTTTGCATAGTTTCAGTGCTTAAACTCAAGACCCAAGTTTTCTATGCATTATACTTGTCAAACATTTTTGTAAATAGATTAGTTACATCTGACATAAACTAAAACGTTTTTAAAAGGCAGCAATATGACATGGGATCTGTTTCATAAACTGACAGGGTGTTGTGTGCAGCCTGTTCTCAGGCCTACAGATACCCTAACCAAGACTGCCAGTGCACTCAGAATAGTGGCATTTCTATGCAGGTCAAGTCATGAATTGGCAATTCCTATCCAAAGATAAGAATGGGCATTAAACAACTAATTACACAACCCTCTCTGCATTAAGACTGGACACCAAGAAATCCCTTCTGGAATTTTGTTAAAATGAAATCTGTGATCCTCACTGAAAAAGTTACATTCTTCAAAGCAACCAAGATTATATTGCCCAGTTTGAGATGCCTGAAATCAGGCTTGGAAACAGCAGTAAGAACATAAAAGAGCTGGATTCCTTTCCCATCTCCATCCTGGTCATTTAAAATTACAGAAAAACTGCTGAGAATTTGAATGAACAGAAATTTACCTAGTGTTGTGCAGAACATTTCTACAGCCACGACCAAACCCCGCAGGCCAATTAGCACAAAAGTTTGAAGAATCATTTCCTATTGCAATAAGCATTTGCCTACCTCTTTCTAAAAGCAGTAGCTTTAAAAATAAAAATCATTGACCGTGGTTGAACCCATGGATATGAACATCAGTTCTTTATCTTGTTTGCTGTGCTTGAAACTCAAACAAGAACAGAATTACAAAGCCAAATAAAGGTAAGTGCCAACTGTCTTCCTACAGCAAAACTTTGGAATTCCAAACAAAATATAAATATTTTTGCTGATTATAAGCATTCAAGCACTGTGAATTAGATGCCTTTGAGTTATGTTAAAATATTTCTTTCTTCTCTTGAGGTGCAAAGGTTGGAGAATTTTAGTTTGTAAAAACAAAATTCAAAGAACTTTGAGCAAAAAGTATTAATCTAGTTTA